TGCCGTTTATTCAAGTCGGTTTGATCCGAGGGCTCAGGATTGATGCTCTAGCCTATATAACCAACCCTTGACCCCCTCCAAATCACGCTGCCATAAGTCAAGATCAGACCAGAAATTAGGGTTTTTAGAGAGAAGAGAATAGAGTTCTAATTCTTCAAAGTTCTAGTATAGGCTAGCTAACAAGGTTCAAGTAGAGTGTGGGCTATTGCTCAGAATTCCAGATCTACCGTCTGGAGACCGGTATAGCCATTGTATCTCTTTATTTGTGATTTTGTGCTATTTCAATATTATGTTGCTATTTATTATGTTCCAAGTTTGCTCTAGTTATATGCTTGATTTAGTTGTGATTGATGATGAGTTTATGCATATGTTCGCAAAGCGCTTAGCTCAAGATGCGCATGGGTTAAGTGGTAGACATTATGTAAGCATGGTGCTTAGATATTGTTTACCTGCAGATGCATTCTGCACTCTGGGTCATGTGGTAGATTATGGATGTGACACTCCCGTTGAGTCCTTTGTAGTCCACTCCCTGTTTGTAGAGCAAGTAGAACACGGTTGCGAAGGGAGACAAGCTCTGTTCTTGATTTTCCTTAGTAATGTTCCTTATGCATAGATCCAGAGTTAATTATCCTATAGAAGAGAGTGTATATACTTGGGTGTACAAAAAACTTAGTAAATAAGGAATGACTTAGAAATCTTTTGCTCTTACCGAATCTCTTACCTAGCCATACTATATTTTATGAGTCTCTATTTCTATCTTTAGAATTATTATCAACACTTTATACTTATCATTTATTTATCATTTGACTTACCCCTGCCATAGCATGAGAGTGGTTTTATCATATTTGTCAATATCTCTATGCCAACAATCCCATAGCTCCTCCCTATGGATAAAATATAAATAACGATACTCGGTATACTCCCGGGTGAAATGCTACAATAGTATATTATCTGTGCGCTTGCGGATACTTTACTTTAACATATATAATTTTCTCTGAGTTTACAAGTGTCATTAATAATTACCAACCATGTATTTCTGGCATCATACTAGGAATGACAACTTAGTAAAGAGTGATGTTAAGAAATATCAATAATGTCAGATATGCTTGTTGATATTCCTTAGCGTCACTTCTATAATGACACTAAGAAGTACTTTAGTATTTTATTGTGACTAAAAAGAATATATATATATATATATATGAAGGGATCTGCAAGCGCACAGATAATTTACCATTGTAGTATTTTACCCGAGAGTATTCCAAGTATCGTTATTTATATTTCTACCACAGGGAAGGACAAGCATTTGGAATATATTGATAACTTATACTTTTGATAGAGAAATAACCCATAACCATTACTCTACTCATAACAGAGGTAAGTCAAGAGATAAATATATATGAATAAGAACTGATAAATAATAATTGATCACTCAGAGTACTTCTTTCTATGGCATTAGCATTGCTAAGTAGAAATTAGAGGAATAATTCCTAAGTCATTCTTAATTACAAGTCAAAGCATACATTGATTAGTAAGATCAACTTCATATCTACACATAAGGGATATTACTAATGAAGATCAAGAACAGAGCATGTCTTCCTTCGTAACTAGATCCTACTTATCCTATATTCGGCGAGTGGACTACAAAGGACTCAACGGGAGTGTCACATCCTTGATCTACCACATGACCCGGAATATAGGATGCATCCACATGTAAACAACATATAAGCACCACGCTTACACAATGTTGACCACTCACCCCATGTACATTAGAGAGAGCTATACAAACTTATGCTTGAATATAATGATAATCTAGCTATACAAAGCATATAATCAAAGTATATGATGGAGATGATAGCTAGGAACATAAATAATATTAAGAACAATGTAGAATCAATTGTAGCAAACATATAAAATATAAAAGATACAAAAGATGATACAAGAGGCTATACCAAGCCTCGTTTCTTGACAAGATCAGGAATCCAAGCGAAGCTTACCTCCCTCTAGATCTAGCCTAGCTAGCTATGCCCTATAATATGGTGGAGCTTTGAGGATGATCAGGGTTTCTTGATCTCTTGAATGATTAGGGTTGATGCCCTGGGGGTGGCAGGGGCTGATATATATAGGGGGGAGCGTTAATCCTGAGCCCTCGGATCAAACCGACTTGAAAAAACGGTGTAGATATAAACCCTAAGGTGGTGGAGAACCGATATTTGAAGGAGGGGGCTGATAGGTGGGCCTAGGGGCCGACCGGCCTGCAGGTAGCTGCTTCTTGCCCTTTGCTTCGATGGTTTGCCTCCTGGAGTCCTCTAGAACCTTCTGGAGTTATTTTCATTGTAGATAATTGTGATTAAATCTGACGTTTGGGGTCCACCTTGACGGATTTCTGAACAAACCCTGCTGAAAACATAGATTCACCAAAATTTGTGGAATTTGTTAGTTTAAACCCCTAAACCTATGTTGGTGATCATTTTATGCCCTCATACAAGTTATATTGACAATTTATTATGGTTGTTAAGTACCGTCAATACTCACTGGAGATCAAACCCAACACTTGCCAAATGTAAACAACCGGACCTACCACTGTGCTAGTTATTCGGCTGTGTACGAGTAGGATTCTTTTTTCCCTTTGTTCTGTATATCTAGGAGTAAGTTTTCCTCATTCATCACCCAGCCGAGACTTCATTCACGAACTCAGTTCGACAACACCGCCGCCGACGAGATTAGGCAGGAGCAATGTTGTTGCTGCCTACCATTGCCTTGCCGTCCAGCAACGCCGCCTCCTAGCTTGCCACGTCATCCCCCATCACCACTGCACACCAGCGCATCACGCACCACCACCGCCCTCTAATGCCATCCTATAGCTCTGCAGCACCACTGCCCTCCACTGATGAACCAACGAGAGATGCCGAGTGCGGCCATGCATCCACCTAGTGACAAATCCAACTGTTGAGCGTGGCCATGTGTCCACCTGGTGACAAATCCAACTGTTGAGCAGACTCCTACAACCTCGAGCATGCATGAAACCGTCAATCGCTAAGCGCCTACCTCCTGCCCGAGGAGATCCCCATCTGCCTCACCTGAACACCCGCCAACAGCCAAGGTATATCTCTGCTATTTTTTGTTGATTTTTTTGGATGTAGCATTTGAATTGGTGCAATTTGCTTATTGTGGTTTATCTGCAATGTTTAATTAGATGGGTAGAAGTTGGGTGCATAACAGACTATTTTTCCCTGAATACATTGATGGTGTCAAAGAATTTATGAGTTTCATCAAGGGAAATTCAATCAGAATGTTGAAATTTTGTGCCCCTGTAGTAGATGCCTTAACAGAAGTACCTAAGACAGGCTGTTCTGAAGAAGCACATACTGATGAATGGCACGAAAACTACTTATACTCGATGGATTCATCATGGAGAGGGCTTATGTTAATGTTATTGAGCATCATATTGATACGCATGACAATGATGATGGTTCCACACATGGGGTAGGTGTGACAGAGGATGACAACTCTGGTGATCATTTGGCAGGAATTTTAGGAGATGTACAGACTGCAGTGGCACACAAGCAAGATCGGTTGTAGAAAATCAAGTTGGTGCTGAAGAACCTTGTGACAAAGAGTCATTTTTGAAAATTGTTATGAGAGAGGCAAAGCGTAAGCTTTCTCTTGGCTGTACCAAATTTTCAAGGTTCTCATTTGTGGTAAGGCTTCTTCATATGAAGTCAATATATAGGATCAGCAATTCTATTTTTTCTGCACACATATGAAGCTACTTGCTGAAGCTTTCCCAAAATTCAATACACTCCCAAAATCATATGATGAAGCAAAGAGTCTTCTAAAGGAACTAGGTCTTGGATATGAATCAATACATTCGTCCTACAATAATTGTGTGTTGTTAAGAAAGGAATATGCCAAGTATGACAATTGCTAGGTTTGTGGTCTCTCGGGATGGAAAGACGTAGAAAGAAAGAATATTCCCCAAAAAGTGTTGCGGCATTTTCCATTGGCACCTAGGCTAAAGAGGATGTTTTCGACCAAAGAAGCATTAGAAGCGGCACAATGGCACAAGTTAAAGCGGCAACGCCCATTGAGAAGAATATGAGCCACCCAGCTGATGGTGAGGCATGGCAAGATTTCAACCTTGAATATCTAGATTTTGCAAAGGATACAAGAGACCTTAGACTTGGCCTAGCTATTGATGGGTTCAATCCTTTTTTCAGAAAAGAACACAAAATATAGCACGTGGCCTGTGCTTATTGTGCTATACAACCTAGCTCCGTGGGAATGCATGGAGGAGTCAAACTGTGTGATGGCTTTGCTTATTCCATGTCCGAAATCACCTAGGAAGGACTTTGATGTATTTTTAGAGCCTCTTGTGGAGGATTTACTTGAGCTTTAGATACTGTCAATACTTATGATGTTATTACTGGCAAATCATTTAAACTTCGTGCTGTAGTTTTGTGGTGCATCCATGATTACCCAGCTTTGAGCACTCTTTTAGGGCATACCACAAAGGGCTATTTTGCATGTCTCCATTGTGACAAAGCATCCTCTTTCATATGGACTAAGGAGCAAAATTGTTTATTTTGGGCACTTCCGTTTCCTTCCAAAGGAACATCCTTTGAGGGGAAACAATGAGTTTGTCGGACTTCACGAAAGCAATGATCCACTAGGTAATTCTGTACCAAAGAGCTGCTGGCTGATGGAGTGAATTAATTAAGACGTTAGACTTGGGAAGCCACAAGGAACTGGAAAAAGGAAGCATTCCAACTCTGAAGGGTGTCATGTGGAAATTTTGAGCCGGATGGTTAGTTTTTGGAAGTTACCACATTGAAAAAAGTGGAAGGTGAGCCATAATCTTGATGTGATGCACATTGAGAAAAACATATGTGAGAACCTAATTGGGATAATTCTCAATATAAAGGGCAAGACAAAAGACACAGTTAAAGCTAGGCTTGGTTTGAAAGATTTAGGAATAAAAAAGGAGTTGTAATTTAGAGAGGATGGAGATTCATGAGAGATGCCTCATGCTAGATATACCTAGATCTAACGAACAGAATGTTGAACTGGAAGCAGAGAAGAGGGCAAATGATGAGCTTCGTGTCCAAGTGGCTGATTTGTCAAAGAAAGTGCAAGAATATGAGGAGGCAAGGATCAGGGACGAAGAGGAGATGAAGAAGAATCAATCTGATATGGAAGCAAAACTTGAACTTGTGCTAAATCAATTTCAACCAAGTTAAGCTATACATGGTGGTATATCTTTTGCTACTAACTTTATGCATTTTGCTGCTGCTAACTTGGGTCAAGTCAATTTCGACCAAGTTAAGCGATACATGGTGGTATATCTTTTGCTGCTGCTGCTGCTGCTTGCTGCATGCATGCATTTTGCCACTACAGCTTAATGCATTAAAGCTGCTGGAGTTTTATGCATTTTTTGGAATCTCTATTTGTTGTTGGCTTGTGCCATGGTAAACTGCAAGGTTGATGGGATGTTTGATGAAACTTTATATGTTAACTGATATTGGATGAAAACTTATGTAATCTGATGTTGGATAAAAATTCATGTGATATGATGTTGGATGGAAACATAAGATTTTTTATTTGATGTGCTGCTACAATTATTATCTGTGAAAATGTGATGTATACCGTATGTGCGAAAATGTATGTTGTATGTGCGAAAATGGGCTTTAGTATGCTGTATGTGCGAAAATGGGACTGTGTATATGGGCTGTATGTGCAAAAATGGGCTGTGTATATGGGCCGTATGTGCTGTAGTAGCGGGATGAAAAGTGCGCTAAAAATTAGTAGTGAAATTGGGCTGCAAAATGGCTGAAATTGGGCTGCCAAAATGGTTGAAAAAGAGCTGCTAAAAATGGCTAAAATTGGGTTAAAACTTGGGCCATCTTTGATTTTTGTTTGTTACTAATTGGGCTGAGGTAGTGTCCACGTCATCATCCACATAAGCAGCCATGATTTTGGCCTGTTACTAAACGGGCTTGGGCTGGGCTAACTAGGCCTTGGGCTCTACCGTGACGGTTTAAGTCAGTCACCGATTTCGTTAATCCGTGATGGTTTTCCATAAACCATCACATAGGTTAATTCATGATGGTCAATCCATGATGATATCTGAAACCAGCATAGATGTTTGGTGACTGTTTTTGATGATCCGTGACAGAAATTTTCCATCATGGATTAACAGAATTCTTGTAGTGTTCCTAGTCATCCCTCAATCCAAATATACGGTTAATGGGTAGCCTCGATTGTCATGAATTTCCTCAGGACTTGTTCAATGGATCCAAAGAACAAAGGGATTGAAGGGGATTAATGGGCTAGCCCTGACTCAGAGGTAGAGGCAAGTAGCCGAGTAGGAAGCTATAGCGCGAGGAGCAACTGCCGATGGCCGATCGGAGGTTCACAAATCGACCTATGGGTGTAGCCGCGCGAGGTAGTGGGTGGACGAGTGGACTGCAGACCGACGGATGGAGACATGGTGAGGTCGTGAGGAGGCGGACTCTTCCACTGCACTTTGGGCGTTCGGGGGCCGACAGAGGGCGGTGGGAGTTGGGTGACGATGATTCAAGCAAACACCCACGCAACCGTGAGTGATGGCGTTGTGCCGAGCTGGAAAGGCAGCCGAGCATGTGCACCATGCCCTACTTTATTTTCTGTTGGGCCTATGATTTTAGGGGCCAAAACTAAATGGGGTTAGTAGGGTTCTTCGGTGACGTGACCCTAGAGACCGTTGTCCCAGGTCCACCCCTGAGACAACGACCTATATAAAACTTTAGAAATAGTTGCAAGCCCACATATAAAAATACTATACCTTTATAATTGATGGCACAATCATGTGGTTTCTAGAACGGCCACAACAAAACTAAATTTAATTGTCCCTAAAAATTGTTTAGCCCCCGATGTCGGAGTTGAGAAAAAAAGTGCTATCCGTATCTCCGCGTTCCTACTTCTCTCTCAATTCCAAATTATAAGTCATTATGATTTTTTTAGATACATAGCTTTTATTATATATCTAGATATAACCTACTTCTAGATCCATATATAGCAAAAAATAATGTACGTAGAAAAGTCAGAACCACTTTGAACGGAGAGAGTAAATACTTTGGCAGGGATGAAGTTGCACCTTTACCCTTCAGCTCCCACCAAGCAAAGAACCATCTCCTTTTGCTTTAGTTAAAGCGCCAAAGACACAAGCTATCCCTTTTTATCGCTTGCTGCTGAGGAAATGCCAACAGAAGCTTATTGCATGTTTGCGTGTCAAACTGGCTGCCTACAGCATTTGGCATGTAGTTTTCTTTTCACGAGCGTGTCCTTGTGACACGTATTTCATTAAGAAGTAGAGTTGAACAGGTTACAACTAACTCAGGTAATCTAAAGATTACCCAACACATAAAGAGAGAGAGAACAATGAAGGGGAAGAACCCTCAACCCCAATACCCTACTAGCCAAACCTGCGAGAAGATACATCAACGCAAAAGCTGCCTACAGAGCGGACCAGGCCACGGTGGCAAAGCATCCGCCCGAGAGGATCAAAGCAACCTTGACGGCAAAGCATCTGCAAGGTAAGAGGCCCACACACGCTCGGCAGCAAAGTATCTGCTAGAGAGGGGGACCAACAACAACGATGGCAAAGTATCCGCAAGGTGAACCAGCAGCAACGGTGGCCAAGCATCCGTCCGAGAGGATCAGTGCAACCTTGACGGCAAAGCATCCGCAAGGTGAGGGGCCCGCGCACACTCGGTAGCAAAGTATCTGCCAGAGAGGGGGTCCAGAACAACGACGGCGGCGGCAAAGTATCCGCAAAGAGAGATGCCCACACAGATATGGCAGCAAAGTATCTGCAAGCAGATAGCGGACCAAGGACAATGATGGCAAAGCATCCGCCAGAGACCAAGAGACAGTGGCTAAGTCAAGCACTCAAGTAGGACAGACCACTGCGGAGAACAATAGGCACACACAGGAATGGCGAGAGGTAGAACCAGCGAGAGGAACAAAGGACCGAGTGAAAGGTATGGTGGTAGGAGCACAACAACGATGCCTTCAAGAAGGGAAGTGACATCCACGGATGCCACCATCATTGGACGAAGTGTCATGCAAGGATTGCCTTTTGGCCTAGGATCGATGGCAAAATAGAATTTTCGACGACGCCTCCAAGAAGGTAGATGACGTAGGCTGTGATAACGTCGCCGGCCCAGAGCTGAGGCCAGGCAGGGCTTTCACCCAAATTCATACACAAGCCCTCGACGCTGCACATCGCGGCTCCACCACCACCAGCAGACAACAATGCGGCCACGCCCGAGAAGCACATACAGCCCCAGCGTGCCTGCTGCTGTTGCAGCATCGTGTCGAAAGACAGCATGCTGCGCATGCACAGTGACAGGATGCAGCTACCGCCTCCGACCGCCACCGCTCATAGCCCAGCCGGCACTGCGCCGAGCGTACGTCGAGGAACGGGTGCCGCCACGACGCGTTGCTGTTGGAGGCCGCCGTTGCGGCAGAGGCGTCTGAGTCGCGGCAGGCAACAACATCCTCCCGCCCGTCCTTAGTGCCCGCAGGCGGAGCCCGGCGCCCCCGTGCAGCACAGCAACACACGCGCCGCGATGGCCTCTGCGACGCGGCTCCACGCACGCGGTCGAGGCCCCGCACCCAGCGGCTCCCCACGGCCGGCGCGTCACGCATGCGGACGCAGGCAGGGTCCGAGCCCGGGCAGCCCAACGCACGCGGCCTTGGCCCCGCGTCCGGTGCGTTAGTCAGGCGGACGTTGGCGAGGGGGCCAAGAGCAGTCGCCGCTGCCTCAGGCCGAGCGCACGGCAAGGACGACCGGACAGCTATCACCTTCCCCGGATCCGGTCTCCCCCTGCACGGATCCAACCACCAGAGGCACGGATCTAACAGGAACAAGCACAGATCAAGGGATTTTAGGGGTGTGGAGGGAGCAGATTCGGTGGGGATAGAGGAGGGAAGGATGAGGGAGGAGGCGAGATCCTCCCTGGTGGCAGCGGCGGCCAGGGGCACAGTTGATCTACTTCGATGGATGGGGTGGACTTGGTGCATCTGCAGTCCTTAAATCATTAGCCGAACACCCTCCGCCATCTCTGAGAAACAAATTTGATACCATCATCCATATTGATTGCTCTAAGTGGAAAAATAGGAGAACACTCCAAAGGACAATTGCACAGGAGTTAAAACTTCCTCAGCATGTGATGGATATTCTTGATGGACAGGATGAGGATGATGATTTTGGCGGGGTGGATGAAAGCTCTCGGGGTGAGATAAGAGAAGTTGGGAGGGTGATCTACCAAGCAATCACCCTGTTCGCTTGGTTTATAAGCCGTACTTTTTCACAACAAATCAGCCAACAGTATTTTTAGCCATGACTTATCAGCCAAACGAACAGGGCAAGGGACATGCATTTCTAGTGGTCTTCCATAACGGGAGCAATAGGATCATTGACTTGAATGATTTTGGCATTCCTCGACATGCTGTTGACCCTTGGTCAAATGCTGTTGGTGGGAAGGTATTGTGGACCTTCCGCGGAAGGTTACGTCCTTTTCCGTTAGGATTGGATCAGTTCTTTTATTTTCGAATAAAACCAGATAAGATACAGGATAACTCATCTACTGCGCTGTTTTCTTATTTTCCTGATGATTATGAAAGTCAATACTTGGATGGCATACTACTTGAAGAAGCCAGAGAAATAGCTCGCTACACGAACAAGCTAAGGCCCTGTTTGGTTGAGCTGTGGCTGTGGGAGAAAGCTGCTGTGGGCTGTGAGCTGTGGAAAAGCTGCTGTGGGCTGTGAGCTGTAGAAAAGCTGAAAGCTGTTTGGTTAAACAAGTATAAAATATACCTTTTATCTTTATCTCTCTTGAAACAACTATGGAAGAGCTTTTTATTCCACCAATTTCGAAAAGCAGAAAGCCAAAAGCCAAAAGCAGGGTCAAACCAGCTTTCAAAAATGAACTACGGAAAAGCAGCTGCTTCTGAAAAAGCATCCTCCAAAAGCAGCCCCTTTGGTTAGGCTTTTGGCTTTTGAGGCCAAAAGCCAAAACCAAAAACCCAACCAAACAGGGCCTAAGTGTCACCCCGGAGCTAGCTGCAGTATGCTGCAGGTATCTGATCTCAGTGAAGTCCAGGTACCACAACACCAGTTTTTTTGATACACCAGTTTTTTTGATAGTAACGGTGACACCAAATACTACGACTGGGCTACTCATGCCTCAAACTA